AATGTGTTAATTGTGGCGAAAGCCACACAGCTAACTACAGAGGCTGTCAAGTATACCAGAAAATAACCAACAAGGATCACAATCGGGGTAGTCCTCGCAATCGCCATCAAAACGCTACTGAGAAAAAAGAAAATACTCCTTCTCCCCCTGATTTGAATTCTGCTGCTCATTTTCCTGAGATTCATACAAACTTTTTGCCTCGGGAACCTTCCACATCACGAGTTTCATTTGCTAAAGTTGCTGCTACGAGCCGCCGCAATATTAATAATTCATTCTCACAAGAACAATCTGATGATGCTCCTGATACGTCTGTGTTTCAAAACTTTGAACAAATAATCCTAGATGTGGTGAAATCGTTCATTCCTACTCTCAAAAAGATAATAAGTAATGTGATAAGCTCTATTCTCTCAAATGGATCAGGTCAATTATTTTCAAATTAACAATTTAACCCTCCTTAACTGGAATGCCAATGGGCTTAGAGATAAACGTGCTACTTTTATCGCGTTTATGGTTAGACATAGCATCGATATTGCGTGCATTACTGAGACACACCTGACCAATGTGGAAAATTTCAAAATTAATGGGTATTCTATATACAGGGAAGATAGGCCTAATCCAATAGCTTCAGGTGGCGTTGCAATCTTTGTGCGAAGAACTTTGGACCATCATAATATATTTTTACCTCGTTTATCTTCGGTAGAAGCTGTTGGTGTAAAAATTAATTTAAGTCATGGTGCAGACTTTCGCTTAATTTCTGTCTACAAACCCCCGAACAAACGGCTACACAATAATGACTTGCAGGTGCTGTTTGCAGAAAATTGTTCGACTGTTGTTATGGGGGACCTAAATTGTAAACATCAGATATGGGGTTGCAGAACCACAAACCCAAATGGAAACCGTTTGTTACGACTTACAAATAACTCAAACGTAATGATTGATGCGCCACAAGAACCAACACATTTCCCATGGCAACCTAATTATCAACCAGATATACTAGATTTGGTTTTGCACAAAAACTTTACAGCTCCAATCATTCAAAATGTTTTACCCGAGCTGGACTCTGACCATTCTCCCGTTATAGTAACCTTCTTCACGCAACCTCAATTTAGTTGTCCACCTCAACGATTAATTAATGGAAAGATAAATTGGGAAATTTTCAGTGCAGAATTGGATATATGTTTAGAAGGTATGCCTAAATTATCGTCTTGCATCGAAATAGAAAACTCTGTAAAAATATTTACCCAATCATTGAAAACTTGTGCCAGGAAAGCTATCTTAAATCCCTCACGATCCACGCCAAATAACGACTACTATCATCCTCCGATGAGAATAATGCGTCTGATTAGAGAAAAACATAAAGTTAGACGACTTTGGCAGCGATACCGTCTACCACACTTTAAAAGGCAACTCAACGAACTGGGAAGACGAGTGAAAACAGAACTCGAGGAATTTAGAATAGACAACTATAAGAAGTATGTTTCTGATATTCATCCGAGTGACCCAAATATGTGGAAAGCAACTAAACGGCTTTTAAGTACTCCTTCGATCATACCTACGTTGAAAAAATACAACCTAATATGTGAGACTGATTCACAGAAGTGTGAACTGTTGGCAGATTTTTATGAAACTACATTTCAACCCACTGATCTTGCTGATTATGGTGACGATGAGATGGTGAAAGAAACTTTGAATGGACAATTTTTATCTGCTGAACTACCAATAAAGTTTGCATGCCAATCTGAAATTAAAGCAGTAATTAAAAAACTTCCACTCCGTAAATCACCTGGCCATGACCTTATTCCTAATATTATTTTGCGAAATCTCACCAACAAAGGCTTTTCATATTTCACATCAATTATTAATGCATGTTTGTCTAAATCTTACTTCCCTTCTATTTGGAAGCATGCGGAATTATCATTTATTCATAAACCCAATAAACCGAAGTCTTCTCCATCGAGTTACCGTCCAATCAGCTTACTTTCTACGCTTTCTAAAGTCTTTGAAAAAATCATCTTGAAACGAATTGCCTGTTACATGGATGCTGCAAATATAATTCCTGCTCATCAATTTGGATTTCGGCCAAAACATTCGCCCACACATCAAATCTTACGAATATATGAAACGATAGTCAAAGGGTTTGAGAGGAAACAGCACACAGTAACGGCATTTCTTGACATATCTCAGGCATTTGATAAGGTATGGCATGACGGTCTTGTCTTTAAATTGATTAATTTCGGATTTCCAAAATATTTAACCAGTATTGTAAAATCGTTTCTCTGTCACAGGACCTTCTCTGTTGAAATTAGTTCTTCCAAATCATCTGTACGACGAGTCAATGCAGGGGTTCCACAAGGTTCAATTTTGGGCCCTGTATTGTTCAATCTATACATGGCAGACATCCCTCTTCCAGAAGACGCCTCATTAGCTCTCTATGCCGACGACACTGCTATCCTGTGCCAGCATTCCGACATCCACGAGGCCACGTATTCCCTACAATACTCTGTGGATATTCTTATTGATTGGTTCTACAAGTGGAAATTTCGCCTAAATTCAACAAAATGTGAAACCAAAATATTCTCCTTGAAAAAACATACATTGCCACATGAAATTCAAATATATGGTAACTTTCTACCTTGGAACCCTGATGACCAGGCCATAAAATATCTTGGAGTATGGCTGGACAAAAAACTTAATTGGAACTACCACGTTAATCAAAAACTGTCCCAAGGTTATGCACGCCTTGCAAAGCTTTTCCCTTTAATCAATAGGAAATCTACTCTGAAGCCAGCTTGTACAGTTCTAATCTACAAATCAATAATTCGGCCCTTGATTACATATGCATCTCCTATCTGGGGATTAGCTATATCAAAAAACAAACTCTTCAAAATTCAAGTGATTCAAAACAAAATTCTAAGAATAGCGGTGAATGCTCCCTGGTTTGTTAGAAACAGGCATATACATGAAGAACTAGGAGTGGAGTCTATCTCGGCCTTTATTGAAAAAACCACCTCAAAATTTCTAAAATCTTTAAACGATGTTCCTGGTGCATTAACTTTTCATCTTGGTGAAGCAACTGAGAACAGGAGGCTACGTCGAAGGCTCCCTCAAGATCTATTGGATGAATGAAGCCTAAAGACGATTAAATTATTCTCTAAATTAATTATGTTACAGGGTGTACCAGGTTTGGGCGAACCCACGATGTTATTATGGTTAATTTCTTTTTAGTTTTGTTAACACTTCTGTGTATAATGTCTTACATTGAACCAGAAATAAATGCTGTAAAAAAAAAAAATTACTAACATTATATAACACTAGGTGAACCCGTGCGAATTCGCACGAATAATAAATTAGGATATTATAGCAACGTCGTTAGAAGTTGCGTCGTTGTTTCGACGTTGGTCTATATGCATTCTAAGTTCTTTTTGCTGGGCAGTAGGAGTATTTTGCAGGACGGAGCTCATCATGCTGGAAACTTGCGCTTATGGATTAATATCAACCAAATGTTGTGTCAAAATGTGCATGAGTTCAGTGCTGCAAGAGCCATTGGCTTCGTTTGGCATTCTTTCTTGAACAGCGGTTGAAAGGTGCTAATTGATTGATAAATTGTGTCGTGCACCTTATACATACACTGAAGGCCCTCCACCGTTTGTTCTTCAATTTTAGCTCGAGAGCTGACCATTGCGAGTGCAGAGTTGTATGATCTAATGTTCTCTTTGTAGTTTCTGCTCAAATGATTTGCTCCATCAAGTAGGCTCTGGATGTAATAGATTTCTCGGTATGGTGGTTGATTTACTTTTCTTTTATGGCAGCAGGATAAAAATCCTTCGCCTCCTCCTCTTTGTTCTTCTTGTCTTGAAAATGTAGCGCACCACATTACTGACATTTTAATGCCATCACGGCAAGTGAATGCTGTTGAATTCTTGTATTTGTCAGTGTAATTTTGTAAGTACACGTTGCCCCTAACTATTCCAGCTCCTCGTCTGGGCTCCTTACGTTTTACATTGCTTGCTGTATGTTGAATCACCGTCTCCGACCGGAAATATTTCATTGTCGTCGGGTCCTTGGCATGTTTGGACGAAAATATAATGTAAAACTTTTCTCCCGTCGTGTCCTATAGGTAAAATTTCTTTGCCGGGTTTCTAATAATTTAAAGACTATGTTCTTAGACCTATGTTTTCTGTGCTGGATGTTTCATTACAATCTGTTGAGCGGTTTCGGAGTCCATAAGGTACATACATATATAGTTCCTGTTTTATAGATATAGACAGTATAGTATTTTGTGATAATCTAAACCATTGGCATTTGATTTTTTTTAGGACAGCTAAACATTATTTTTATATGACCTTTTGTTGGATGGCATTAAATGAAAGCAATCCACCAATGAAACAGTGAAGCCATTAAATGAAACAGCCTCTAACCCGAAACATGTGTTAGTTACTATTATCTTAGTTTCTAATTTTTTATTTGCCAAAAGTAGTGGTATTAATAGTCAAAGGTAGTAGGTTATACCATGTTCTAATGTATTGTAGAGCCTGATACTCCAACAAATGACTTTTTCATTCAAATTTTGCAATTAATTATGTTTGCTTGATTTTTGTATTAGTATAGTTAATTAAATGTAGTGAAATGTGACAATTTGTGATTAGGAAAAACTATTTTTTGTAACAAGACATTTTCTGATCAGATATTTTCCCACTATTGTCAGGACCGCGTAAGTTTGCAGTTGGTGGCAGCCAATCACAAGACAAGGATAGTGCGACGTTGCCACATCGCCCATTGACAACACTAATTAAAATATAAAAGCAATATTTTCAAATCAGCTGGTATTATTTGATTTGGCAACACCGCACCGTTCTCATTGGTTCATTTAAAAACATATGGTAAATAGGCTCCTCCCTCAACTGCAAACTTATGTGGTCCCGACAATAGCATGGACTATGGTAGCCTATTAAAAAAAAAGTTTTTATAAAATCAAAAGGAAATGAAATTGTAGAACTTACCAGAAGTTGAGACTTCCACCTCAGTCTTGGAGGTTTTCCTCAGTCCTTGGACAGTGTCCTTCTCCGGCACAGACTCCTTCCTCATAGGGGACGACCTCCCAGGAGACCCTGACCTGAGGGGTTGTTCAGGCTCAGGACTCCTAGGCTGGGGCTCTGATTGTTTGGAGGGTTTTCTGACAGTTGTTTTTTGCTCTACAGTCACTCTCTCCTGGTAGCTCTTGGTAGGACTTGAAGATCTCCGCTCTGGCTTCCTAGACTCTGTTGTTTCATGAGTAGGCTGGTAGGACAAAAAAAACATCAGTTGGAAGATCAGCTTTAGCTTTATGGAGATTATTACAACTAGGAGATAATTGCATTTTAAATACCATTTTAAATTGTGATTACATTTCCAAGCAAATTCTGGATTGGAAAAATATGCAAACACTATGTTGATTATACAGGGGACAGACTATAAATACAAATATTATTAATTAACTAGGGGAACCCCGTCGAAATCGACGGTAACTTTCAAGGTTGACTTAATTCATCTAACTGCGATAAATTGGGTGAAATATACATATTTTGAGCATTTAGCTTAAAGAGTTATAAGTGTAAAAACAATAATGATATTAATTGTGTTAGTTGCCAAATTTGGTTGATCATTCAATGAATAAAATATTTCCCATACCGTACGTCATCGGAGTTATTATTAGTATGTTATCTGGTATCACTTCCTTTGGAAGAACCTTTAAATAATAGTATTAAAATCGTATTGGTGGATCTTTTGCAGTTAAACATTTCCGTGATTTCATCAGTGTAATATGATTTTATTAGAAAAGAAAATATTTTTTGGGAAGACATATTCTAATTTCAAAGGGAGGTACGGTATATCCGTTACAGTGTAAGCTTGATTTTCCTTCGTCACGTCGCGTCAGTTCATAACGTACTTCTATGCCAAGAATGAACCCTCTAGCATACTTTTGAGAAATTGATTTTGGGGTTACTGTTGAAGCTGGAATTCCTTGACATGGGGAATGACAGTTAGTTGTCTCAGCCTTATCAATAACATAAAGTTGTCAATATAACCTCTCTACGGAATGTTAGGTGTAGTGGAATACTTGAAGTGAAGTTGGATTTTATTCTTTAACTGTCAGGGGCCTCCTAGTTCATACGGCCTTGCGGCTTCATTGGCAACAAAATAATGCAAATGGCATAGCAATGGGACATTTCCAAAAAGAAAAAATACTGTAAATTGGCTGTTACGTATATATTGACGTTTACATATTGCTAATCAACGTACCTTTCTTATAAAGTATTATGTGATCTAGTTTAAAAGGAATATGACCTTTCTGTCATGACAGTAGCTCCTTACATAGTATTTTCTCTTTGTACCATATTTTACAGCCAAAATTTCGTGTTATTTTCAATAATGTTACCAACCCAGTGCGCCAAAGTCTATAGGCAAATATAGGCAGATGCAAATAATTTGTCAAGATGGGTACCATTTTAGTCAAGGTTTCTATGTTTGGATTTTATTAGACACGATAAGAGCATATATTTCTACATAAATATTTGAAATGTGTAGAATAATATGATAAAATGTAGGCAAAAGTGGTAAAAAAGGCAGACACCAACCCGTACAATAGAGGAGATAGTTAAATAACAAATAATTTAAGAATTGCTGTGATAAAAGGATTTTCCTCTGATTTCGTAATCGAACGTTATATGGCAAAACATGACATGATAAAGAATAAAATCAATTTTAAAATAAGAAAATAACATTGCAAATACTTATTTGGTAGAATTCAGTAGCCCCCAATATAAATGTGTGTTGTTTGAAATACAATTTAAAAATGAACAGCTGTTTCATTAAAAAGTATTATTCTCATGGCCAAAATGTAAACAACTCTGTGGAGGGATCTTTTAATGCTTCTGTGGCAGAGTCCTAAGGGATTTTGCTTAGTTTTTCTTTTGATAACTCATCTACAGACCAAGACCTTTCTTTGGACACCTCTACCAAGTTTCTACGCCCAGCCGTTCTCTCAAATTAGTGGGGACAAAGTTTCCAATTAAATATTTAGATTCCCCCATGTTAATCTTATGGGAGAAACACCAACTTTGATGGCCTGTGGGGCAAAGCCCGAGGATTTTTATTACAGGAATTGGTGAAAGGGGGCGTCTACACAAAAAATACTTTATTTTGGCACGTCGTTTGTAAAAATCCGTCCATTATTAACGGAGGAGTAGTGTTTTGTAGAAATCGCCTTCACGTATTATATATAAGGATTTTGATACATTATGTCAGTAAGTTCTCATGGGATTTTTGTGGAGATTTAATGTAAACTTGAAATATAAAAACAGACTTAGTTGATAATATAAATGTGTCTCAATGCTGTCTAGTGTCTATTTTAAAGATTTGTTATGCCCAAAGTTTGTTTTAGACCTGTACTGAATATTTCAAAAGAAATAGTTTTGTGTGACACAAGTACAATAGTGTAAAGGTTCTCACCTTTGCAGGAGATCTTGTAGGGGACTTCTGCCTGGTTGCTTTAAAATGACTAGTTCGATCCTCCTGTATTTTCTTAACAATTCTTATTTGAGCCCGGATTCGTCTTCGCTGCTCATATCCCACTGCTTTTTCCATCTAGAAAATTTCTAAAATGAATGAAGGTCATAGAAAAGAGCTAGAAGAATAACTCATTCGTTTTTCGATTAGTAATAAAAGACCCCGTTCATACAGGGTGGGGCAGCATAACTTCTTTTTTTCAAAGATTAATAAATCGCATTGTATGAGTCAGACAAACTTTATTTGGTTTTTATAATGTAAGTACATTTCTAAAGTTTTGTTTTACGTAGTTTTGAAGAGTAATTCATGCAGGTGACGTCCCTCATTCTAGATACATTGAGCATACTGATTTCTGGCGTTTGTCATTATCCTTTCAAGCATAGCAGGCGTTATGTTGGTAATTTCTCCCTGGATCTGGTTTTTTTAATGTTGATGGGTCCTTGGACGGTTCACATAAACGCGGGACATTAAAAAATGCCATAGAAAAAAATCCCAATCGGGAGATTGATCCGGCCATTGCAAATCATCCCTGAAATAAGGCGTTTTGACAGTTCCTGCACAATCGTCATCTTGTATGGATGGAAATATCCATAACAATTTAACATAACAGAGAACCACATAACAATTTATTTCCGGTCCGGAACAGAGGCCAACGGGGCTAAATTAAACCGATTTCAAAAGCTGGGCTGCGATCACTGAACATCCACTCGAAAAGTAGGCCTCAACGGACAAACGCACGCTCCTCACTGTTCCAACCCATAATGGCGACTAAACTGTGCAAGGACAAAACTTTATAGCCTATTCTCTCGAACAAGACTGCTAGCTCTTCGCTATGACATGAACAAACAAAATGGCGCACATTTAAAAAAATTAAGTTATGCTGCCCCACCCTGTATAACTGGGGGGCTTAGGCAACTGAAGATGTATGGGATTTCACCCCCTGGCTAGATATAGAAATTGGCAAGAATAATAATTTTTTTTAATAATTCTAGTTTTGAGAAAAACACTTTTAGACAGTTAATAGCGGTAAATAATAGTTTGATTATATGTCTTTCTATAAACAGACCAATAATGTAAAAAATTAATTATTCTCATCAAATTTTACATCTGGGCAGGGGGAATATTCCAGGGGTGAAAATTTGAGTTGCCTCATGTTGGGCAATTCAAAAGTTCGCAGCCAGAATTTACCCTCTAGTTTTTGACGTAAGTTTTGCTCAAGGGGTAAAATTCCAGTGGGATCCGTGAACGCGATAACTCAAGTAATTTTTGTCCGATTTTGATGAAATTTGGTTGAAAGGTGTAAGATGGGATAAACTTGAAAGAGTTTGCGGACCAGCATGATCGGGCCATGGGAACATGGGTTTATGGGGAGTTTTATGGATAAAAATTGGTTTTTGTCCTTTTTGACCCTCAAAACACAAAATTTCCCAATTTTCCTCTAGACCTTATAAAAGAGCTTAAAAAAACAAATAATTTAGTATGTCAAAGAGTTTTTGTACAATTATTGGTAACGGGGAAAAATAAAAAAAAATCGTAATTTTCCCACGTTATTCTTTTGGAGAATATTGTGAAATGTTGTAGTTTGCTTGTTTATGGGTATATTTTGATCAAACATGGCAAATTTATTAATTTTATACAATACTAAGCTATTAATATTTTACTGAAAACCGCACTTTATTAGTTTTCCTTGGGCAGCAAACCTCAGTACTCATTAAACCTAATGTCATTGAAATAGATTTAATAAAAAATTAAGAGTGTAAGCATAGACAAAAAGAATTAAATATAGACCGTCAGCTGTGCTGCGGTTAAGTTACCATAGCTTCTGGCGCACACTGCTTGGAGCGCCATGTATTTACGGCGTACGCGCTACTTAAACTACAGTGGTGTGCGCCGGAACCTATGGTAACCATGGTAACTGCAGCACGGCTGACAGTCTATATTTAATTCTTTTTGTCTATGGTGTAAGGCAGGATAAATTATGGGACCATGGGAAGGGGAATCACGGGAGGTTTTATGGGGTAAAAATGGGTTTTTCTCATTTTTGACCCTCAAAACACAGAATTTCCCAATTTCTCTCTACATATTTTTAAAGAGCTTAAAAAAACTTATAATTTAGTATGTCAAAGAGTTTTTTGTACAATTATTGGTAATGGAGAAAATTTAAAAAAATTTTAATTCTAAAATTCCCACGTTATTCTTTTGGAGAATAATTGTGAAATGTTGTAGTTTGCATGATTATAGATATATTTTGATCAAACTCGGCAAATTTATTTTTTTTACACTAAGCTAAATATCTTACTAAAAAACACACTTTATTAGTTTCCCTGTAGCAGCAAACCTAGGTACTCATTAAACCTGATGTTATTTAAATAGATTTAATTGAAAATCAATTCAGGCAAATGGAAATTCGCTTAGTTGGCAGGTTTGCTGCAGCGGGGGTATTGTTTGTTTTAGTGGTTTAAATCACAGCCACCTCTGATACCTTTAAATATAAAAATCAGGGAACTTTTTTACTGTTTTAACTGAAACTAAAATACAAGTTTTTCTGAATACATGCCTACTATCTATGTTTAAAATGTTAAAAACACCATGTTTTGGAGTCTTGTTTTTATTTATACGCAGGATTAAAAATACCCCCGCCGCAGCAAACCTGCTGACTGACTAAGCGAATTTCCTTTGTCCTAAACCAAATTTCATCAAAATCTGACAAAAATTCCTCAAGTTATCACGTTCACGGACACATATCTACTTAAATCTATATATACATAGGCCTATATAAAAATTTGAACCAATGGTGGTTTTGGCCTCTGGGGACATCGAAATGAAAAAGTAAATCGGTCTCGGGCCTAGGTCTTACCGTGCCACCTACGGTAATAGCTACTTCCTTATAGGGAAATTCGCTAAAAGCATATCTAAACCTTGATAGTGAAGCATATGGTTGGAAAGCTTATACAATGGCACATTTTTCAACATATTTTGCTAGATTAGAAAAATGCAATAGGTAGTCCAAAGTTTTTAAAGTTTTTATCATAGACCTTAATTTTAGCGAATTTCCCATAATAGCAATAAGCTATTACCGTAGGTCTCATGGTAAGACCTGGTAACTGGTAACGTAGGTCTCATGGTAAGACCTGGACCTGGGACCAATTTTTCTTTTTCGTTTTGAGGTCTCCAGAGGCCAAAAACACCACGTTCAAAATCATATATATTTATATGAGTTTTGAGTTTGTTAGCACAATAACTCGAGCAGAAATTATTTGATTTTGATGAAATTTGGCACAAACGTGTAAACCTACATATTTGAACGAGTTCGCGAACTAGCAAGATCAGACTATTGGAACAGGGGTTTATGAGGGGTTTAATGGGATAAGAATGGGTTTTTTTTATTTTTCACCCCAAAACATAAAATTTTGCAATTTCTTTCCTAACTATTTAGTAGAGCTCAAAAAACAAATAATTTAGTATATTGAAGCATTGTTGTATGCCTAACGGTTACAGAAAAATCCCCAAAAAGTGTAAATTTAAAATTACCGTACTATCATTGACAATTGGATACAGAAGTTGTTGTATAATAGTCAAAGGTACTATGTTATTTTTATGGAGAATAAATAAACTGATGTAGCTTGCTTGTCTATAGACATAATATTTTAATGCAATTTTGATATTTTGTTTACTTCATACTAAGCTATCAATATTTCAATAAAACCCCCTATTTTCTTCCCTGTAGCAGCAAAAAAGTACTCGTTAAAATTAATGATATTCTAATATCATTTAAGTGTCTTAACGTCCGCACGGGTGAGTACTACGACTATCCGCAGTACTATCCTGATAATTAGACCTATTCGTAATTACCAAGGCAAAAATAAGGTTCGGATTCCACTATAAACTGTAGGTCCCTGGTCTCTTAGTTGCCATTAGCTGTATGGGCTATTATTTAACAGCTGTGTCTAAAGAATGTCAGCCTTAGTCACTAACAAGACTACAAGATCGCGCCTACACTTATCTTCATTCAACACACTCATCCTACACTTATCTTCATTCATACTTGGCTTAAAATACCTACTTTGTATGGTCGCCATTTCATAGAACAGTATTAACAGTATAATAGGAAATAAATCTGACAATTTTAAGGTAATAATTTAGTGGCATTACAGCTAGGTAGATGGAAATTTGCTTAGTCTGCAGGTTTGCTGCTCCAGGGGTATTAATATTTTGAACTATTTACAATGGAGTTTCTAATGATCCTCCATCATTTTATATTATTCTTATTAAAAATTTAATGTAAAACATGAAAATGACATCATCTACTCAAATACATTTACAGGTACTTGAGAAATTGCTGCATTGTGTTTAAAAACATGGTTATTTTTGAAAAACTTTAAATAATTCTTTGGGAAGCTAATTTTAGACTTTGAACCTCTATTTACTTTGTCTACACTAAAAAAACTTTTACCTAACCCGCCATGTTAAACTTCCCTATCCCAAGCGTGATGTATACAACTTCCTTACTTCTCGAGTGATGTAAAGTATCAAAAACTCACTCGGTGATGTTAAGAACCCCATTTAAATAACATTGAGAGCTTAACTTAAAAAATATAACTCTATGGAGCCAACGACGTTCAACGCTAGAAATCAGCTGTGCGCTTGAATGTTATTGTTATGCTTTAAAGTATTTTCCTAACCTAGCTTTTGCAATTTTGTTAGTAAAAGAACGTTACTGATAGAAGATGAGTGAAATGGATAGTGAAAAATATTGTACGTAACCCCATGTATATTGTCGGGTCAGGTAAAATCTTGTACGTTACACGTTACGCAAGAGCGTGTTTACATCACTTAGGTAAATTATGCAACTCGCTTCCGCTCGTTGCACAACATTCACCTGCGTGATGTAAAAACGCTCTTACTGCACTTGTAATGTAAATAGCTATTGCAACACCGATGACCAGCCACCCTGTATATTGAATCTTAGCCTCCTGATAGCATTTAAATACTATAAAATGGTATTTTACAATAATTTATAGTAAAAAAGTATAATTGGTGTAAGACCTTCAAAATTTTACTTTATTTAATTGCTATTTTACAGCAGTGCTAAAAATTCAAAATATGATCCAAATAATTAATTTATCACATTCTTTAATTTTTCAATATTTATGCAATTAATAGCTATTTACATTACAAGTGTAGTAAGAGCGTTTTTACATCACGCAGGTGAATGTTGTGCAACGAGCGGAAGCGAGTTGCATAATTCACCTAAGAGATGTAAACACGCTCTTGCGCAACGTGTAACGTACAAGATTTTACCTGACCCGACAATATACATGGGTTTTACGCACAATATTTTTGATTATCCATTTCACTCATCGTCTGACAGTAACGTTCTTTTACAAACAAAAGCTAGGTTAGGAAAATACTTAAAGCATAACAATAACATTCAAGCGCACAGCTGATTTCTAGCGTTGAACGTCGATGCCTCCATAGAGGTATATTTTTTTAAGTTAAGCACTCAATGTTATTTAAATGGGTTTCATTACATCACCGAGTGAGTTTTTTTCAACTTTACATCACTCGATAAGTAAGGAAGTTGTATACATCACGCTTGGGATAGGGAAGTTTAACATGGCGGGTTAGGTAAAAGAACTAAATACAGTATTTAAAAATTAAAATAAATAATTTACCATAATTTCCAGCAGTGACAGGTCAGTGATATCCTCAATTTCTTGAGTTTCCCCAGGAGTGCTGGTTTTTCTCGGGACACCAGCTGAAGTGGTTGAGGATGTGCGGCGAAGACTTACTCCAAATTTACCAGCTTTATTTAATTCAATTGTTTCAGATTCTGTTTTCCGAGGAGGCGAACTTCTATCAGGTGATTTTTGAGACCTCTCAGGAGATGTTCTTGATGATTTTCTTACTGGAGCTCTCTCTGGCGATTCTCGAGTTAGAGAGGGTTTTCTATCCTTCACTGGTGATGAAACTGGTGATTGTTGTTCAGAGATATCGAGTGTTTTTGTAATATGATCGGGGAAATTCCTTAAAGTGATCGGTGCTCTTCTCTCTGGTGAAGGAGAGATTTGTCTTTCAACCTGAGATTTTGTCTTAGACTCTTTTTTATGGAATGATGAAGTTTGTGAAGTTGTGATATCCTCTTTTGTGAATGAACTTCTTCTTTCCTTGACACTTTTAGTAAATGACATTTTTCTTTCTGGTGACTCTGATTTTATTGAATATTTTCTCTCCTTGGCTGGAGCTGGTGTAGAGGATCGCCTATCTGGTGATGTTCTGGATGTTCTCCTTTCAGGTGATGTTTGTGAGGTTTTCCTCTCAGGAGAAGTTCTAGATGTTTTTCTTTCAGGAGAAGTTCTAGATATTTTCCTTTCAGGAGAGGTTCTAGAGGATTTCCTTTCAGGAGAGGTTCTAGAGGATTTTCTTTCATTTTCAATAAATGATGTTGTTGTCAGTGATTGTTTTCTTGGTGGGGAAGGCCCTCTTATATTTTCTTTATTTTGTACACTTTCTGTCAGTGGTTTCCTTTCTTTGACTATAAATTGTTGCTTTGATTGCTTAGTAGGAGTGTCAGCTTGGGATTTTCTTTCAAAGAATGCTCTTTTAGATGAAATTTCGGCAGAAGCAGAGATGGTTTTCTCAAAAGGCCTTTGTTTATTTGACAAATCCGGCTTCTTTTTATCAAAAGAAGAAGTTGAAATATGTTTTACTGTTCTTGATGTAGGATCCGTTTTGGGAGTTTTTAAATTATCTCCACTATTTATAGTTTCATCTTGTACAGGAGGAGTTTTGTCAAAATTTAATGTATCCTTTTTAGCCTTTGTAGGAGTTACCGTGGCCTGTGGGCTGAGAGACTCATTTAAATGGACAATATCATCACTTACTTGTTTTACCTCATTTTTCCTGATTTCATAAATACTAATACTTTCTTCATGCTTGCTTGTTCCAATGGATTCTTCTTTGTCTACTTGATCATGAGGTTCCTCGTTGGGAAAAGAATCAGATACCGGTAGTACTGTTTTTGGAGTTGTCTGTCCTCTCCTTGCTTCAAACACTGATGGTCTACTTAAAATGTCAGGAGCCTTATTACTTGGGGCTGGTGGAGCAGTTTGGTTTTTGACAATTGTATCAAACATAGCAGCGGCTTTGAGGACATTCTTAGATCTATCATTTACAGAATCATGCTCCTCTCGTATTGGAGTAGCAGCATGGTTTTTGCTTGTCTCAATGAAATGTGAAACTCTATCAGCCACACTTACATTCAATCTGACTTCATCAACTTCAGAATCCTCATCAAGATCTGTCACTTGTTCGAAACGAGGCTTTCTGTAGCTTTCATGAGCAGGTCCATCCTTGGGATTAAATACCTCAACGTCCTCTGGCTCACTTATTACATCAGCATATCTTGGATTTGCACCACCATCATCACTAACAGTGCAGAAAGGCTGTGACCTGTTTGAAATGTCAGGACTTGACTCTCGTGAGGATTTAGGGTGTTGAATTATTACAGAAAGAAGTTGGTTTTCTTGATTTGTTGTGGCTGTGAGTTTGGAGGCGTACTCAAGTTCCTCATTTTGTCGCATTTCCTCAAGTTCTTCTATAAATTTCTGTTCTTGATGATTGGGAGTCACAAGGGATGGAATGTTCTGTACTTCTTCATCTGACGATGCTAACAAAGGCTGCTGGGTGTCTGAAGGTATTTTTTTGTTTGGAGTGATACGTTTGATTGTTGCTGATTTAGCAGTTGTTACGTTTTGACTGGCTATTCCTGTTTCAGTGACTTGTTTGGCTGCCCCTGCTTTAGTAACCTGATGAAGGTTGTTTCCAGCCAACATCTCGGGCTTTGAAGTTTGTCTTTTTTGAGGTGATGAATTCTTAGATATATTTTTATCACTATGTGTTCTTATCATACTAAGGCTATCAGATTTTTGTACAGAATTGTTTACTTGTCTTCTGGTAGTTGTTACCTTTGTTGTATTTTTAACAGAGGTCTGAGGAGAGCCTTTAATGGGACCTGAAGAAGATCTTGTAGTTACTATTCTTGTGGACGGTTTAGACATAGTAGATTGAGTAGGTTTCTTTAAGGTAACCACAATCTGCGAATTGTTTTTAATCTTCGAATCCACATGAATTGTTTTTTCAGTTTTATGGTGAATGTCACTGGTGTTTTCTTCTTCTTCCTCCTCTGTCTCAGGGTACAGTTCTGGGTGAGTTTCATCTTCTAAGTCAGCTATTTCTAAGGTTAAGGTTTCATCTTTAAACCCATGAAATTCGTTTTCATCTTTTTTCAGCTGATCAATAAATGCCTGCGAAGCTACTTTGTTAGTAGAGCTTTTTACAGTATATGATTGATCAATTTCGTCACGATGGTTAACTATATTTGATTTAGGAGTGTTAGTTCTACTTGCAATACGTTTTGTTGTTGCGGTTACTATAGGCTTTTTGTTAATGGAGCTTTCGCTCTTTTTCGGCATATTTTCTTTCGAAGATGTTCGTTTGTAAGTAGACAATCTAGTCACAGTGCTAGTTGTATTATTCCGTACCTGGGAAGTAACTGTGGGTTTTTGCAAAGATATAACAGCAGTTGTTGTCACAGTTTTTTTTGAGGGGATGGTTTTCTTTATTGGCTCTGTAGGCTTTTCAAACGATTTCTTAACTGAGGATGAATAAGTTTTTGAGGTGACTATCCTGTCCATGCTGTTCTGAGAATCAGTTCTTGGCATTTTCAACGAGTTACTTGATTTAGGCTTGTTTATTAATGATTGTGTTTTGACCATTGGTTTGGATCTGATTTCTACATTTGTTTCAACCTTTTTTCGAATGACGGTTGATTGTTCAGATCTTGGAATACTTGATCTTCTTGTGCTACGAAGTGTATCTCTTTCTGGCGATTTTTTACCACTTATTTTACAAATAATTTTAGACTTAATTTTATTTGTCTCTGTAGATCTTTCAGGGCTTGAACAAGGAGAAACACTTGGTGATGACAGTAAAGTATGACTTCGCTTGTTTAAAGCTCTTTGAGGCAATGGTGATTTTGATTTAGGGGAAGATGTAGATCCTCTTGATGATGATTTATCAGGTGAAGGTGATCTTGTTGAATTCATCAAGCTTCTTTCGGGTGATTCTTTTTTTGGTGAAGGAGACCTAGATGTTTTTGAATTTTTTTCTGAGGCCTGTGTAATCTGTTTATCCACCTTCTGAGTAGATGAAGTGTTTTTAAAAGACGACTCCTTTTTAAGAGAAGATTTCCTAGAAGTTGTAAAAGTAGAAGTGGTAATAGTAACAGAATCTTTCTTTGCTGGTGACGGAGATCTAGATTTATCTGAAGGTGATGGAGTTCTGGTCACAACAGATGTTTTTTTATTAGTGAATCCCTTTGTTGGTGAGACTGGTCTCTGTTGATCCTTTTGAGGTGATGGTGATCTTCCAGAAATAGATGTTTTTCTAGAGGTTTGAGTCTTAGTAGGCGATTGAGGTCGAGATGTATCTTCTTTCACTGGGGATTTACCTCTGAATGTAGAATCTTTTCTTGTATAAGAGTTCTGTCTTGCCACATTTCTTCCTTCAACAGGCGAGGAAGGTGACTCTTTTTCGGGTTTTGATTGTTTTTTAGATGGATTGACTTCTGTTTTCGGCTCCTCTGGTAGGTTTTCTGATTTGATGACATCTATGTTGATGATTTGTATTTGTGTATCCTTTTGTTCTTGTTTGATAAAATCTGTCACTCTATCTGTTTCAGTGGCAGTTACTTGAATGGTTTGTGATGACTGTTCTGGGCTTGTTCGGAATTGCTTTATTGGTGTAAAAGCTGTCCGTTCAGGACTAGAATCTGGACTAGCTTGCCTCTGACTATTTTTAATCTCCTTTCCAACTGACCCCTCAGAGCTATACTCTGGAGAAGTTTCACGCATATGAGGAGTGATTCCGGATAGTAGTTTTTGCTCTGATGTACTTTTAATACTTGTCTTTGAACTAGTTACAGACTCTTTTCTTAATATTCCAGTAGTATTTGTACTGGTAGTATTTGGAGCCTGTTTCAAAGGAGACTTCTCAGGACTCAAAGGTTGAGAGGATGAATTTTTTATTGTTTGAGTAATTTCTACTTTTGTTGCATTTGATTCTTTGTCAAATTCGTTCATGAGGTTTCTTCGTACCACATCGGCTCTTTTATGGATATTTGTTGTTGTTTTCTTCTCATTTGCAACTTGCGAGGCATCTGAATCACAAGCAGAAGAAGTAGAAACAGATCGCTCCCTTTGCTTTCTTGATGGGCTTGTTGAAGGTGATGTTCCAGGTGTTGATGTTCTTACTTTTGTTGCTGCTTTGTTCTGTGTTGTCGAAAACTTCCTTTTTGTTTTCAATGTTGAGTCTCGAGATGTAGCAGTTTGTCTTGTTACTTCTGAGGACTTGCGACGGGCATTACTTGGTCGCTCAATTGTATAGCTTCCAGTACTGGTTCTACGCTCTTTATCAGGACTTGATCGGGGAGATTTTTTACTCTTCCTTTCCGGGCTACTTCTGTCAAGAGACTGCCGTGAAAGGGAGCGAGGAGTTCCTGGAGGGGTTTGTCTTAGTGACCTTGCAAACTTGTCGTGTGTTGGACTAACATCAACACTTATTCTTTTACTTGTGTAATGCTCATTGTAAGTGGTCATATATTGGCCTTCAGTGCATTCCTTGGGTAGATCAAGGTTATCAGGCTGTTTCACTGGTGTTGCTCTTGAACTAGATGATCCGATTTCATCACCATCTTTATATATACAATCTCCATCATTGTTAGACACAACGGTCCAGTTGACTTCACCCATCACACTGCGAGGACTTGCTGGCGTATTAGTACCAGTGTTTTGGGTTGATAGAAAAGAATCAAGTTTATTAATCTCAGTCATGATATTTTGGTCCACTGCGTTGTTGCTTCTCTCAGTGTCTGTCTTTTCAACGTTAACTTGTTTTGAGGATGAGATATCCTTTTGAGAAATATAATCATCAACGTTTGTACCCACTTCACTGGCATATGTCGAAGTACTGTCTCTTCGGGAATCTTGGTCAGTAAAATGCTCTTCAACTATATTGACTCTAATATCTTGAAGATTATTTTTGATATTGTTTCTTGTTTCTGAATCTATAAAAGTTTTTGAATCTGACCTGCTGTCAAAATGTCTTTTCTCATTTGTACGATAGTTCTTATTGTCATCTCCATTTGACTTGATCCTTCGTATTGTGAACGTGGTAACGTCATCATCTGGATTAAAATATTTTGAAAAGTCATCACCAGACGTCAAAGCTTTTGAATCAACAACAGAAGATATTTGTTTATAATTCGATGAAGAAATTACTTTACGACTAGAAGAGCTTGACACACTGGAAGTCTCCCATCTATCAGACTTAGATATAGAACCTTTATCCTCTGTTACAGAAGAAGAACTTTCTTGATGCTCCTTAGAAGTAGAGTAAGAGAATGCCTCACCAGAATCTGTTTTTGTGTGTGATGCTGCAGATATCTGGGCATCATGCTGCTGCTGATCAGTAATTGTTTTAGCATTGTCAGTCTCAGAAACATTGGAAGTAGCACATCCTCGTTCATCAGAATCTACTCTGAGTTTTGTTGCACCATCAGCACTCTGACCAGTCCCTGTTGAGGATCTTTCATATGATTTAATACCTCCATCATCATTATAAGAAGACTGCTGCACCGTGTTCCAGTAGGTGTTATCTCCTTGATGTCTATGAATGTCTCTAAAACATATAAACAATAATTATTAATCCAACCATTAGGACTAAATTTTTGTCTGAGTTTAAAAATATAGGCTATCTTCACAATTTACTTATCCATTTTACATAAAAATATTTAAGACCTTTTGATTTGTCTATCTATATCAATAAAAGCTAATTGAGTTGAAAAATCAATTATGGAAATATTTTATACTAATTTTTTTGTTTCAGTAAAGTCGGGTTTAGGTTACCACGATGCCATTAGTTGAGACAGTTGTCTTTGCCAATAGACAGCACGTGATTGCGGGATTGTCGGAAGCAGTGCTCGATTTGTAAAAAATGAGGTGCCGGAACTGTAATCTCTTCAATGTGTTTAGTACCTATTTTATGTAACTATTCCCACAGAACACAAGAAGATCCTTGGAATGTCTCAGTGATATCCCAGTGGGGTATGGGGGATATCCTCGGAAAATTCCTCAAAGTTCTCAGAGTTTCCTGGGGAACTCCCTGGGATATCCATATGTTCGCCCAAATCCTGATCCCTAAGATATCCCATCAGGATATCATACATAAAAATACTAAAGATTTAGTCTGAAAAGCACATAATAATAATAATTATTATTAAAAGCAAGGTGTATTCTATAAGTATAAAAGAGGATGTTTGTATATATATATATATATATTTGTTTGGCAGTGATAAACTCAGACACCGCTGAACCGGTTGCCACGAAACTTGGTAGGCTACATACGTGTAGAATTTCATGGAATAGGTTTATACACCATCAATTTCGTGATCCGTCCAATCGGCTCCGCCCCAGTGCTCTGGAGTTTCCCATGTTAACCTTATGAGAAATGGAATTAATGAATCTTAACAGCTGTTTCAATTAAACAAGTTGGTTCTGTTCTATGATGTTCAATAGCATTAAAGTTACAAGGATTACCAACAGGGTGCAGCACTATTATTTCTTTTACATTTATGACAACAGCTAATTTGCAACCAAAAGGTGAGTGAGCATAGCGAACGAACTTCAACCTGGAGGCGGGTTAGCGTAGTGAACGAGCTAACCTGAAGGCAAGTGAGCGCAGCGAACGAGCTCCAACCTAAAGGTGAGTGAGCGTAGCGAAAGAGCTCCAACCTAATGGTGAGTGAGCGTAGCGAACGAGCTCCAACCTAAAGGTGAGTGAGCGTAGCGAACGAACTTCAACCAGGACGTGATTGAGCCATGCGAACGAGATCATCTTGAAAATTAAGAAGTTAAACGGGGCAAAGCCCGTGGGTTACAGCTAGTATTATTATAAAAAGGTGAATAATTAGAGTTGGATAATTATTCTGCGGAACTCTGCCCCACAGGGAATTCCTACAGATCTCCAAAGGATGTCCTATGGATATGATAGGAAAACTTGATTAATTTTTATAAATCATTGGTAGTGTTATTGTTAGTTTGAAATAAGATTGAAATCCTTTTCAATTACGTTTCACAAGCACTTGTCACTTGAAAAAATACATTCAATACTATAATGCTTTAATGTAGCCTACCGAGAATATCCATAGGAAGTCCCAAGGAAACCCCCAAAATGCATTTGTATTTGTGGGTTATGTGCAATATCCTAGAGTGATCCTAGGGACATTCTCAAATCCTGGGATCTCTGTGGGATATGTGGGAACTGGTCAGGATATCCTGGAAATATCCTGTGCTGTGTGGGTTCATGCAAAATTTTTATATTTCCGAAAGAGAGGTACCAGAACGCCAATCCACCGCAAATCAAGCACTGGAGGTAATTTGCCCTGCTCGTTATCCTCAGTCTACTCCCGGAGACAATTCAATTTTAAGGCAATTGTGAGGGCAGTTGGCAAGGCAATTAGTCTGAAGTGTTTACACGAAGCATGTAATTTCATGCCGGGTCAGTTGTCTTCTGACAATTATCTCACCTACTGGACAATTAATTGTCAGACCTATCTTGTAAACCCGGCTTAGTTATTGTTACAATAATCAATAACCATATTAATGTGATATTAATTGCAATATTGAAAACCATTATGGTTTAATTAACTTAACTTGTTAACTTAATCAATACTTTTCCCTCACTTTATTTAGAATTTTCAAGTGTTAGGCTGGTGGTATGTGGACCTATGCTCAAAGTAGAATTACAATTCTCTCTGAATAAATTACAGCTTTAATAAACAAGCACTAGCTTTTGTAAGGGGGTTTCAGTTCATAGTTTTTGTGAATTGTTTACCATGGTTTATCATGAATATTTTCAGTTTGTGGATATTGTTAAACCCAATTTACTAAGACTTATTTAAGGATTTGATTATCCAATGTTTACCTGGTTGGGGACTCTGAATCCCTGATCTCTTTGCTCTTGAGAGACATGAAACCCTGGTCTGCGATGCTGTCTGTGTAGGTGTTGGAAGTGTGCTTCCTGCTGGTCATGTCAGAGATGTCTCCAGTGTAGAAGTCCCGCAGCCGCTGCTCTCGCAGCTTATACATGCGCTGCCGGATCTCCTTCTTACGACCGAAGTCGTCTGTTTGCTGCCACTGAAACAGGGGGAGAGACTTGATCACTTGTATTCATAATTTCTATTTGACCGTAAAAATGACATACTATACAATTAAACCTAGTGATACGTTGGAACCTATGTATCAGTTCCTGACCAAAATCGATTCTTGGTTTTTGGAATCGGAAAAGATGGTGTCAATTAGGATGTCATGTGTGAGAGGGATGAGGGAAAGGCTCCCAACAATACTGAGAGTTACACCACTAGACACTAGTTCTCACAACAACATAGGTAAAGTACAGGGTACAGGGTGTATGGGACGACCGTGTGCTTTCAGCTCTAGTATGTTGTGCCGGAAATATACTTGTGACAAGGAAGGAAGAACCCGAACCACTGTGTGGAAATTCCTATCGCACAGGGAACAGAATCTTCCTTGACTGTGAGTGTTGTAGTACGCAAGGGAGGGGGGGCAGTGTTGTCTTGTGCATGTGACTTTTGTCTTAGACGCCAGCACTAGTGCTAGTCACCACTTAAATTTACCATTGAGTGTTTCCTCAGTAACCTTACTTCTCTGTGACAATTAATTGTAGTGATTACAGTACAAAATAACAAAAGCAAAGGTGGTGGCCATTCTAACAAGCACGCCCTATACCTACAGAAGTAAATTAATACTTAGCATGCTTTAAAGGTAACCTGTACATTTTGATATTTATAAATCACATATTAATTATCTCAAATGTTCATTCCTTACAAATTGCTATTTAATTTTGACATTTTTATGTATTTCTGATTCTCAATTCCAAAATTTGGAACAAAATGAAAAATCTCAAACACTGAACATGATCAAGGGAGGGGCCCTACTCAGGAGAGTCACGTCGCGCTGTGATTGTAAAACTCATCACAATTGTATCTGCGATTGTGAGATACGAATGCAGATTTATCATCCTTTGAGCATTAGAAGCAATATGGCGATTTGGGAGGGAGAAATTTTTAGTAGTCTGAGGAGACTTAGAAAAAACCTTGAACAAAAAGTGGATTATAGGGAGAACCCCAAAGAAAGAAAGAACCAACATAAAGCTTCCATTCCAACAACGAAAGCTTCCTGGCGAACCTCTTTGGACTTCAAGTTACTACGACTCACACTCTTTCGAAATTTCCAGGTATATGAAGATTTTTGAGGTTTCCACAGATTATTATTGTGGTTTAAGCAGTTATCCTAAATAACTTTACTCCAGGCCAGGGATATACCTTTATTTGAGACAAAATCATAGTAGATAAAACTAAAACCAAAATCATAATGAGGGTTTTAAAATTTATGATGGGTTAGCCTCTGGATCAAGGTAATGCAAATATAAAAGGTTTAATTTACCTGTTGCGTCAATTGATCCTTAAGTTATGAAATAACTACGGCCGTTTCGTACTGCTAAACGAGTACATCTTCAGGTCATGAACGTTAAAATACGGCCTTCTCATTCATGGGTGGAGTCCTATATGTGCTGACGACTCCACCCATGGATGAGAAGGCCGTATTTTAACGTTCATGACCTGAAGATGTACTTGTTTAGCAGTACGAAACGGCCGTAGTTATTTCATAACTTAAGGATCAATTGACGCAACAGGTAAATTAAACCTTTTATATTTAAAATTTAATAGGCACCAGGTATTAAAAAGGTAGTGAGCATTATGTTTTATGATGGATGGTAATTGGTAATGTAGGATCAAGAAATAAACTGACTATTAATGATTGCATTGAAAAATAAAAATATCCCCGCCGCAGCAAACCTGCAGACTAATCGAATTTCAACTTGTATGGTTACATTTTTTGAATGATAGTGGTATCTTTATTACCTAATTTACTTCAAATTTAGCTTTCGAAAGGTTAAAGCTCGTGATACACTGATTATTATATTATGCTATGGATTAGCTTACTTATTTACCTACAGTATTCAGTTAAGATAGCTATGAAGAAGAACTATTATATTTCTAATTGGTCTTGAGATGACAACTTATTCCACTTATCGATGCCCTTGCCCGCCGAGTGTGGAGCGAGTGTTGGTGTGCCCGTATACGGACTTGTCTGCCTACGTTTGAGGCCAAGGTCCACGACACAGAGGGACTGAGGCACATGCAAAGTGCCTTCATCTTGTACATCACTCAACATTAATTAATCAGATGTCAGTAATGGTTAGAACCTCTCTTAGAAATTGAAACTGTAGTTCCTTCATTTTTGAAGCAGTTAACATACTTGGAAATGTTGCAGGATCTTTAAGTTTTTAGGCATCAATTTAAAGTGAAGGCATGCTACAAGACAACAACAATATTTTCAGCCATATATTTTAATTGCTCTGTTATCATCTATCGCCCCAACTATCATCAAATACCCCCACGGCAGCAAACCTACAGACTACGTGAATTTAAATTTGTTTGATAGGATTTTCACAAAAATGTTTCTTTAATCATTCCCAATTTTTAATTCCTAATTTAAACAACATAAGATTTAACGTGTAGGCCTACTTAGGTCGTTTGCTGCTACGGGGAATTTATAACAAGTTTTTTTTACCAAATGTTAATAGTAGGCTATAGTATAGGATGAAATGGATACATTTGTTAAATGCGACCAACATACATCCATGCATAAGCAAACTACAACAGTTTTCTTTTTCTCTATAAAATGTGTGTTTTTTTTAAAATCTTCTCCATGATGTTTAATTTTACAATAATGCTTCAATTTACAATAGTTATATGTGTATCTAGTGGGCGAAGTGGCATTTTGCTGCACACGAGAGAAATGCTTATGCACGAGCCGTAGGCGAATGTGGAAAGTTTCTTGTGTGCTGCAATGGCAATTTGCATTCGTGTTAGACATTATATTTCTCCTACAGTTATTATAAAGCATAGAAATAATTAGTCTTTCAAACACTAAACAACACGTTTTAGGTTAGTTTAAATCCAAACGTTGAATGAAATGGGAAACCCCTTCAACAGCTGATCTGTTGTAGCCGACGTAGTCGTAGTATCTTTAAATGTTGCCAACCTATTTCCAAGAGTGAACACGGATTACGTGCATCATAAAAGCACGCTGTTTTGTGTTGTTTGGTTGAAATACTGGTGTGCAACAAAGTAAAAACTGTGCAAAAAACAAAGAATATCAAGATATTCTTAAACTCTGTAGATATTCAGATTTGCTTAGTGAATGAAATACAAATTTTCAGTGTATATTAACACGATTAACACATCAAATTTTACACTCTTCCACACATAGAATCCAGAAATGAGCAACATAGAAATAATATGTAAATATTAGGACATCAAATTACATAGCGAAAACAAATTACTAAATGATATGATAGGTTACGTACCTTTTTATTCCGTCTCCAGTCTTAATGTAGTCAAGGGTGACTATAGTTTCTGATCAGAAATGACACGAACTGTTCAAAATGACGTCCTACTTTGCTGTTACACAGCCTTAAAAATGCATCGATTCTCTAACTTGAGCAAAGTACTATAGTAGTCAAGGCTACTCTCGCCGGCCTTGGTCCATCTCACTAAATACACTAGGTGTATAGTGAATAGGGTTCACACTAGAGTTCGTGTAAAAACCCTAGTGGTGTATAGTTCACCAGTACTTAGTGAGATGGACCAAGCAAAGTGAGAGTAGCCTTGACTAGTACGCCAACGTTTATGCTCAAGTTAGAGAATCGATGCATTTTTAAGGCTGTATAACAGCAAAGTAAGACGTTATTTTGAACTGTTCTTGTAGTTGATTCCTTTGCTTCAGTCATACAATAGATGTAATACTTTTGTCTATTTACTAGTTTAGTTTTAGATACAGAGGACAAGTCATACATATGTCATTATAGATAAACGTAGGTGCGTATTTGGTCAAAGAAACTTTAAAACGAGATGTAATTTTTACATAGCAGAGAGTTGATGTCCAGGCAAATACAAAGTGAAGCCATGTAAATCATTAGTGCCCTGTATACCCTTACGGATCGAGCTATAAACATATTCAAATAAACTACAGGTATAGATCAAACATACTGCCTTAGAAGATTTCTCATCCTTATGGATCAGCTTAAGACAATTTTATTGTTGGATCCCGTTGCACTGTAGGGGTCGTGTTTTGCCTACAAGTTGTTTCTTGTTACTGTATTTCAGTAATTAAACAAATAAAACGTTCCAATCATGAACAATAACTCGTCCCCTAGTTATATAACCAAACAGTAAAGCACAAATAATTAAATTAGCCCTAAAATAATAAAAACTAAATTTCGTCGACACTAGCGATCAGTGTCACCAACATTAACTACACGAACAACGAGCTTCAGAATTTATTATGGGATGAGAAGTCTACTTGTGTCTATGCTACAGATTTAGACAATTAATATTAGCTAGGAGCGTACTCTTTAATAATTATGATGGTAATATAACAAATATTCTAGTTTAAAATTCTTAAACTTATTCACAACCCAAAAGTAAAAATAATACAAACCAGCTGTAATTTGTAAATATTATTGTACTTGGAAAAATATGTCAACTCATTATCGTGAAGTGAATTGCTGAAATGAAACGGTTAAAATGTTTGACAGTAAAAATTAAACAATCCCAAATACATCATGGTTTCTTGCTAAGACTGGTTGTTGTCGTGGTTAGTTGTGTGGCTTTGTACCTCAGCAGTATCGTCGATGCTCTGCCAATAACTACAGTGATAGAGAGTGTTGCGTTTTACCTCGCAATAATTGTGTACAGCGTAGCTCTTTTTGTTACTTTAATATTTGCAATTTTTGGAATCCTCAGACATTATTCACAAAAAAGTGTTTATAATAATTTCTCTATTAGGAGCATTTTTACTTACCGCTATCTCCATAATAATGCTTCTGAACTTTCTATTCTACCAAGACATATTTCCTCTCGATAGTTTGGCCCTGATTTCTCTTTGTGTGGCTAACAGTGTGTTGTTGAGTTTAAGCATCTTCTTGAAAATAAAGAGTGAAGAACCCAAAGTATCCACGGATATCAATACAGACCAAGCGTCAAAGC